TTAGGCAGCCTGTCTCAGCTCCCTGTCTGCTTGGCCAAGGACAGTGTGTTGTACCTCTGTTCTATGAACAGTGTGTGGATGAACCAACAGGGTTCTCCTTGGTAGCAGAGACTGAGGGTCTTTTTATAGTTTGACCCAGATTTGGTCTTCAGGATCATTTAATAACATTTCACAGTATTCACAGGACTATTTAATAACATTTTACATGATTTGCTTTCTAGTTGAGTTTTTGACATGTATTTTCTGGGGCCGAGGAAAATTGGCAAAGTGATTTTTAAAAGAATTTATTTATTTCAACAAATAAGCATGCAGTGAATGTTATTGGCATTCCAAAACCACTAAGATGTAAAATGTTATTATCAACTTACTGTACAATGTAGTTAAAAATGCATTTAAAATGTCAACAAAGGGAAAGATTTTGTTATTTTCTAATAACTCTGAAGTGCAACAAATGACAAACTGTAGTTCAGCTCCGTGTACTATAACCCTAATTAAACATGGTTTGTAAATGTAAATACTAGCTTGCAGTAGCAAGCTCCCTGGTGGCTGGACTATTGAATTCCGCGCTCTCTGAGAAGCAAAAATTTCTGTGGACCATTTCATTTAGCCTTGCTTATGATTTACAATCTGCATATGCCAAAGAAAGGGAGATCATCTTTTAATAGTTTGCTAAAGAAATGAGATGCATCATAAAACTTATGTGGCTGACCTTTTCACAAATGAAATAGGCTACAAATTATTGGCTTAATTTTTATGAGTTATGTATAATGTTACTATAGAGAATCAATGCAGTCCTTAGGAACTCTGACTTTTAGGAAATATGACAGGCAGGCAAGTTGTTCTTTGTAAATTCATGTGAAATAGTAACACTGAAAATTTAAGTTAGTTATTTGGTATAATGGGGAGAAGAGGTCACCCTTGGTCTCAACTTGTCCAACCATAGACATTGTTCTAGAAAAAAATACACTATGTACATTCTCATCAGCAAGTTTTGGTAGGTCAAGTAAAGGATTGGGTTTTAAGGTGATTTTTGAATTGGTAGGCGATAGAGTAGATAGGATGTGGGAGGTTATTCATAAATAGGCATTCATAACAAGGTGAGAGTTGTAAATAAAACAGGTTTTGTTAAAGGTGTGGGATTTTTTTAAATAAAAAGGTAGAAAATAACTCATGTAGCAAAATCTTTTGAAGAAAATTGTTTTCAGCTGGCTCCATCTTTGTGCAGGATGCCTGTGCTTCTCAAAATTAAAATTGTGATTTCACTATAAGGTATCCTTATTGCATCAGTTCCTGTGTATCCAAAAATTCTAAACTTTTTTTTTACTACGCTGATTAAACATTAATATTCAATTCAGAAAACCAGTAGAAACAGAAATGTTGGTCTTCTAAAATGCTCTGGGAAATATTTCCAGAAAAAGGCTGTTCAGGATAAGGGCGATGCCATTGGATGTAAAGCCTTCTCTTAGGGGAGAGGTGATATTTCTTGGGACACAATACTGTGAAAAGGAGATTTCTACCAGGGAAGTTGTATTCTGAATTAGTTTGCTTTTAGTAAAGAACCTCAAGAGCTGGTGCTATTTACATGAGAAGGAACTTGGAGAAAAGAAAGATCAACTCTTAACCCTTAGTTTTTCCTTTTCTTCTCCATTTCCATTTTTCATCTTCATTTAACCAAATCATTTGATTGTCCATCAGACATTTGTTGTGTGCCTTTTAAAGATGGTAGTAACTTTACATATCAATTTATTTATGGTCATTTTTGGGGGGGGGAAGAGGTATATTGAAGATGATTGCCTTTTTAAAACCAACAGTAAATTTTCTTCTCAATTTAAGTGTTCACAAAAGTTGGAGAAAGGTTATTTTTCAATACTTTTATTTTAGTCAAACTCTCATTTGTTTTTATCATTTCATTATTTTTTTCAGTCTCAATGTGGCCTCTTATTTATATCTTTAGTCATAGGGGTTCTGTTCAGCTAGTGTTCAGATGATTCTTGAGGTTGATTTTCTTATATTTTATTTGTAATTTTGGTGTGATCCTAGCAGGCAGTAGGCATTCACCTAATCCATCATCCTGGATCCTCTTCTCAGTCCATCTGTTTTAACTTACTATACGGTATCTGTCCTGATTGAATTTCTTATTTTTTCTTTTGTTTATAGTGACCATGGATCCTGGTTTTATTTTTGATTCTCTGTCATGAATACCTGTATCCCATTTAGAACTTATGAAAGATTCTACAGGTATAAAAATTATTTATATTATCTTATTTGGTTCTTTCTCCTCAACATTCTACTACCTCTGCATCTAAGTGTTTGGTGAAATTTTTATTTTTATTTATTTTTTATCATTTAGGTCAAAGTGAGTTTAATGAAGATAGAATTTGTGGCAGCCCTTAAGCTGACTGACATCATCCTTGATTTCCCCAATCAAGGTCAGAAATATAATTACTAAGTTATATTGTTTTCCTTAGATATTCAGGTAGTCACATCCATTGAGACAGCAGACCATAGTCCAGATCCATTTAAAATAGCTAATACACCATGGAACTTCAGTGCTAAGTTGGCTTACTTTAATTCCATTGAGGCCATCTGGTCAGGGAGTCGGGTATGGCGCAAGACCTGTGGAGCAGTGGTTTGAATCTTTACTCTGACACTGGCTGGCTGACCTTGTACAGATGATTTCTAGCATCAATTCATCATCAGTAAATTAGGGATGATATTATCTGCCTTATAAGTTGGTTGTGAAAATTAACAGTCTCTGTGAAGAACATTGTATCTGTCTGGTATACTACATAGGTGCTCAGTAAATGGTAGTAGCTACTGTTACTATTACATACCTACTCTTTGTATACATTTCCTGTTTAAATTCATATGGTAGTGCTAATAGCCATGGTTGCATGATTGTTTCAAATTAGGATTAGTGAGACTTTAAGACTTTTATTAAAATTAAAATATATCCTGGGCTTTTTTCTCTTCTCTTGTTTCCAATTTAATAACTACAGAAAAATCAGTCTGGTCTTCCTTGATTTGTTCTAAATAAACACAGGATGCTTCTTGAGATTTTGTCACCTTCTAGAATTTTTCATTAGTTTAACATGTACCAAAGTATTGTTTTCCCAAGGAATGATGTTAGATTAATGGGACAGTGTTGAAATTAGATAATTAAGCTTCTGTTTTCAAAGATGTGGCTGTTATTCCTTGCTTCCATCATCATTTTTAATCCTTTAATATAGCTCTCTGAAGCTCTCCATAGCATGACTGAAAGATGATTTTTCTAATAGAAAGTAAGTAGCCTAAAATGATTGTTCTATCACCATTGATAAGTTCAAAGTTCTTACTAAAGCTACACATTTATTATTCTTTCAGCTACATACCTTCTCCCTTATGGGTTTTTTCAAGATTCTGTCTCCACCTTAGTAGTGTTCTGAGTAACTTGATTTTAATGTGATGTATATATTTTTTGACAACTTTCAAAATAATTATCATGCATTATTAAACATTTAATTATTAAGTTATAAAGATGATAGCTTAAAAGTATCTGATTTTACATACTCAGTAAATTCATGTGATTAGAAAATTCTCTTATGGTATTCTATTTATAATTAATATACCAAGAAAAACTAATTAGAAGTATCTGTAGCTCCCAGCAAAATCTGTAATTAGACATGTAATTCATAATTAACTGACTCATCTTATTCTTGTCTTTTCCTCTCTAGTGGAATTAATCACTTGTGTTCTCCTTAGTGATACCTGTTGTCCTGTCCAAGATAGTGATTAGAGTTCAGTGATCACTGTTTGTGGTATTTTAAAAAAACAATATTTTTATTTTTAAATTACAGTTGACATACAATATTATATTGGCTTCAGGTGTACAACATAGTGATTAGACATTTATATAAGCTATGAAGTGTTTACCCTGATAAACCTAGTACCCATCTGACACCATACATAATATTTACAATATTATTGACTATATTCCTTATGCTGAACTTTCCATCCCTGTGACTATTTTTATAATTGGCAATTTGTGCTTCTTAATCCCTGTCACCTTTTTCACTTAATCCCCCAACCTACCTCCCATCTGCAGCCATTAAAATATTCTCTGTATCTATGAGTTTATTTCTGTTTTATTTGGTTTTTAGATTCCACATATAAGTGAAATCATAATGGTATTTGTGTTTCTCAGTCTGACTTATTTCACTTAGCATAATACCCTGTAGGTCTATCCATGTTGTTGCAGATGGCAGGATTTTATTTTATTTTTTTATGGCTGAGCAATATTCCATTGTGTATGTGTATACCACATCTTCTTCTACAATTTGTCATTTGATGGATATTTAGGTTGCTTCCATATCTTGGCTGTTGTAAATAATGCTGCAATGAACATATGGATTCATAAAGTTTTTTGAATTAATTTTTTGGGTTTCTTCAGATCAATACCAGAAGTGGGATTACTGGGTCCTTCTTTGTTTCTAGTTATAGCCTTTGTTTTAAAGTCTATTTTGCCTGGTATAAGTATTGCTACTCCAGCCTTTTTTGTTATTTGTTTCCATTTTGATGAAATACCATTTTCCATCCCCTTACTTTCCATCTGAAGTGAGTCTTTTGTAGGCAGCATATGTAAAGGTCTTATTTTCTTATCGATTCAGCCACCTTATCTTTTGATTCGAACATTTAATCTATTTGCATTTAAAGTAATTATTGATAATACATAGTTATTGCCATTTTACTGTTTATATTTTTGATCTTTTTTTTCCCTTCATCTTAAAGTACTCCCTTTAACATTTCTTGTGGTGTTGACTTGAGTGATGAACTCCTTTAGCTTCTCCTTGTCTGGGAAGCTCTTTATCCCTCCTTT